TTGCTATCCCGGTACATACCGTGAATGAATAATCCTCTGGAGAGCCGACGGATAACGCTATGCTTTGGTGCGGGCTGCCCTGATTACGGTGGGAGCCCCATTTTTTTTTCTAGCGAGGCTACCCACGCCGCGCAAATTGGACAAGTTGCTCTGGCCTTAGATCAGCTCGCTGTTTCATTCACTGCGCTCAAGCCAAGGATACAGTCCACGATCCAGACAGACAGTTTCGAAATTTCGTCGTCGGCAAGTCAATGCCCCAAACTCTTAGTTGCATGACTGAACACTGATGATCGTTCAAGTTGGACGGCGTTTTGAGCGCGGGAAACTGCTTTCAAAACACCAGGAATAAGCAAGTAATATCTGGCAACTCGGCCGAGTAGCCCATGGCCCCACATCCAACTCCTACATCTAATGAATAATCCTCAGAAATAACCAGTATAAAGAGTCGTTCACCAGGAGATAGGATCCATCGCAAGTTTCATGTCCAGCAAAATCGTTTACCTCGGTAGGTTCTTGCCGCTCACAAAAAGTCACTTCATCTGAGGATCGTAGTTAGCGGCAGCAACCGCGGAATCGGCAAAGGGCTCGTCGACGCGCTCGCCCAGCGCCCCAATGCGATCGTCTTCGCCGGTGCGCGCGACCCCTCCGCGGCGTCGCTGAAGGAACTCGCCGCGAAGCATCCCAACGTCTACCCCGTTAAAATGGTCCTCAACGACAAGGAGAGCAATGAAGCTGCGGCGGCGTACATCGAAAAGACGGCCGGCCAGCTCGACGTCGTTATTGCCAACGCCGGTGCGTGCTTAGTAGTCTCCCTTCCCACTCGATGTCAATAAGACCCTGCCTGCAGGCATCGGGAAGAGCTTTGGCCCCGTTTCTGCAACCCCAATCAGCGAGTTCCAAGAGCACTACGAGGCCAACACGCTCGGCATGATCGTCCTCTGGCAGGCCGTCCACAAACTTGTGGTCGCCTCCCCCACCGGCGCACCCGTATTCGCGTACATCTCCACCAATGCAGGATCCATCGGTGCGTTTAGGAACTTCAACTCGCCGACGTACGGGCATTCCAAGGCTGCCGCGAATTATCTCGTCAAAAGTCTCGATGCCGAGAGCTCCAACCTTGTGGCGATGGCGATACATCCTGGGTGGGTGCAGACCGAGATGGGGAATGGAGCGGCGACGTCGAATGGAATGCCGGCGGCGCCGTACACACTCGATGAATGTGTTTCGGGCATCTTGGGAAGGATTGACGGGGCGACGCGGGAGAAGAGTGGGGGGAAATTCTGGAATGCAGTTCCAAAGAGCGGCGACCCTTGGGATATCCCTACTGATGAGGTCTTGTGGTAGACGTGAGGATGTATGCTATAGTAGGGAATCCTGCTGAAGAATTTGATTTTCGTTGGGACAGGCGTTTGGAAGGAACGAGCGGAGTAAATATTTCAAGTTGAACTTGCAAGGATGGATAATGGATTGAGACTCGGAGCGTCGACGGAATAAGGGGAAAAAAACGGGCACGTGTTTCCATCGTTAGACGTCGGACCCCGGATCGAACGAGGTGCTGTCTGCTGATTATTGGGACTGCGCGCAAGCAGGACGACGGTTGCTGTTAATTCGGGAATGCCGTTCCCAAGAGGGGCATCTCTGCTGATGGGTTCCTGTGGTAAATATCGATGCACTGTGTGTTATATAGTAATAGCGAATACTGCTCACGAATTTGATTCATCGGTCCAGGCTATCGAAAACATTTGCGGAGTGGGACACGCTTGGAAGTTCAGGTTAGGCATTCGTTGGGACAGGACCAGGCGATTGGGAGACGCTCTGCCTATGGGTGAAAGAATGAGCGGAGTAAATATTCGAGATTGAACCTGGAAGGATCGAGAGTCGATTGAAAGTAGGAGAAATATGGGCCGCATCTCACACTTTCTTAACATCGGACCCCGGATCGAACGAGGTGCAGCATGTGCATAGTTTGGACCTAAGCAGGAACGAAACCGGACGCTGTCGAATATCGACATGCGTACTCAGAGGAAGGACCCACGAATATATCTGATCGAGGCACCTTGGTTGAACAATGAAATTCTCGTGGGACCGATCAATCAATCAATCCTGCTCTTCCTCTTCCTCCACGTCGACGCCTTCATGCTCTTGCTGCTGCTGCTAGAACCGGTGCGATCAACAACCCATGCAAAGCCAACGGGTACCCGGGGTGCGGGTCAGCCACGGGTACGGGTACGAGACACGGACGTCTGAGACTTATCGTACCCGCTGGTCTGAGACCACTTCCGCGCCGCCTGCCTAAAATCCTCATACCTCAAGTTTCTCCTTACTCTTCACTCTCATCTAAACTATCATCTACTTCTGAATATCTACCATGCTACCGCCTTACAATGCAAGGGAGCGCGCCAGTGTCTTTGGAACGCAAGGTACGAAGCTCTCCTCTTCATCGCCGACCCCATCACTCAAGTGCTGCTCAGACGCGCTAGAAAACGGAATTCATCTTGGCACAGAACGACGACCTGCCCGCCTCGTCACCGCAGCACGGGTAGTCGGCATCCTCGCTGGGACGGCGCTCATTCTGCCCATGCTCAGTCCACTCATTCCTATGGACGACGCGGCGTGGGGTCCTCTAGTCTCATATACCCCTGAAGTGGCCAACGCCTCCACTGCGGAAACAATACCTCCTCCGCTCATGCCTGACGAGCCAGTGGCGTTCGAGGCCATCCCAGACGAAGTCACGGACACGCCTACACACCCTCCCCTCGCCCTTCCGCCAACTTCTGAAGATTTGGAAGACCCTGCAGTCGCAGCGCGGGTGGCTGTGGATGCGGTCTTTGCGCGACAATCCAAAACACTCGCAGAGGCTACCGCACGATACACGCTGCATACGAAGCGCCCGCCACCGCCAAACTACGATCGGTGGTTCCAATTTGCACAGGAGCACCAGTGCCTCATCGACGAGTACGAGCAGGTCCACCGCGACTTCAAGCCGTTTTATCAGTTGGCGGAGACGCATCCCCAGTTCTTTCAGTGGATGATTGACGTCGAGTCGAAACTTCTCGACGCGGCCCCGGCGGAGATTAGCGTTGTCGAGATACGGGATGGGGAGGCGTTCATCTCTGGTGGTACGGCCTACGCTACCTGGCCCGAAACTTTCTCCAAGGTACGTCCCTATCTTCCGCATCTAAAATCTTACTCACACAGCAGCAGTTCTCTACCCTCCTCCCCGACATGACCTTCGTTATCAACGGTCGCGACGAGCCCCGCGTCGCCTTCAACTTTCGTTCCAGGACCGCAGAGACACAAGCATTCGAGCGGACGGACATGCAGCCATTCCACATCGAGCCCCGACCCACTGCAGATTTCTTCCGGAATCAGGATGGCTGTTTTGTTCCTATGGAGGCGGATGGGATTATGCGGGGTGTGAATGATGAGCATAGTTGTGAGTGCGCTATTCAAGTCTTTTCGGCGCGTCGTCTAATCTCTTTCGAAGTCTTGCTTGCGAGCGCGAAGCCGGGGTATACGACGGATTTGTATCCCATGCTCAGTATGGCCAAGGTTTCGCCCTGTTTTTCGGATATCTTGTTCCCGACCGAGGTGTGTATCTTTTCCTTAGCCTTGTTCCTCATCTGAACCGCGGCAGTACTATTACGACAGGAGCTGGTGGTCAGGCAAATACGAGCACCCAGACGACGTCGCATGGGAAGACAAGAAACCACAAATCTGTACGTCTCTCCCTCCCTCTGTTGCCTAAATATAAACCCCTCTTCCATCAGACTGGCGCGGCAAGTCAACCGGTGGCAAAATCATCGGCGAGAACTACCACCACTTCATGCGCTTCAAGCTGGCCGATCTGGGCGCCGGATACCCCGACCTCCTCGACGTGAAGCTGACGCAGGTGGACGACCTCGCGTGCGGCGATGGGTGTGATTCCGATGCTATTGCGCGGGAATACAACATCACGGGCGACTGGGCTGCGCGGGAGGACGTGTATTCGTATAAATACGCGGTGGATGTTGACGGCGAGACGTTTTCTGGGCGGTTTCTCGGGTTGTTGCGATCGGGGTCGCTTGTGTTCAAGGTACGTTGGGGGTTTCCCTTCCTTCTTATATGTTATGTTATGTGAGTGCTGACTGTGGCCGGTGCAGGCGACGATATTCGAAGAGTACTTCAATGGGTGGCTGAAACCTTTTGAGCATTACATCCCTGTGAAAGCGGATCTGTCGGATCTTGTTCAGCAGGTCAAGTGGGCGAATGAGAACCCGGTGGAGGCGCGGTTGATACAGTTGCGTGGGCTTGAGGCGGCGAGGAGGCTTGTTACGGACGAGCAGAGTGATTGTTATTTTTCTGCGGTGTTGTTGGAGTGGGCGCAGTTGCAGGAGATTGCGAGGAAGGCTAAGGAGGTGGTGGAGGAGGAGGTGGTGGCTCAGGTGGAGGAGGTGGAGGTCGGCATGGAATGAGACGAATCCAGTAAAGAAGAATGTATTGTACCATTAGTTTATTTTTCAAGTGGGTTGAACGGATATTCCTGATTGACGCGGGACTGCCACAACACTCCTTCCTTCTTACCAGACCACTTCTTTCCTTCTTGCCATCATGACCAATAGCAACGAGTCTCTCCCACCAGAAATGAGGCGAGAGATGCTCGAGTTTCCTACCCAGCAGGTATCCCGCGTCTCATAAGTATGGCTGTCGCACAACGAGTATCGAGAATATCGATTTCAGGGAATTAAGGCTTGAACCGATCCGATTCACAGTTCTTGTCTTCTGGACGATCAAGAAATCCTCACTCCATCTCGATGTCCCAATTCCTCCACGCGTTAAAGTCCAAGCCAGCATCGTTCTTCCAGGAACACGCTCGGCGTATTACTTTTGACGACGAATACTGCTCCCAGATCGGCTTCTACAAATATTCTGCTGTCACGAATGTGGTTTTCAAGCTGGATGTTGACCCAAATGAGACCTCAGAGTATACATGGAAATTATTGTGATACAACTTACACAGCTCTTGACTAGTATATCGGTTCAGTACACCCGCTTGTCATGATACCGCTCTCTCATGCATTCGCGGGAGAGCAGGGTTCGACTCCCTGGTCGAGAGGTTTTTTGGGATTTCTACACTTGAATTCCGAGCCTCACTCGCGCTTGAAGTTGCTGCGAATTTCTGTCTTTTTCACACTGCACTCCGAGCACGTCTATTGATGTTCCGATGACACTGACAAGAAATTTGGCCTGGACCTGCCCTCTGACGTAAGACACCGATGATATCAGAGCAGATCAGAATCAGCTCTCTCTCTTGCTCCCGACGTCCATGATTCGGTTTGACAATCTGCCGCCCGAGGTGGTGCAGGCCATGTGCACCCCGATGCACCAGATCCTCCCTCCTGCTCCCTTGCCCACCCAGCCTCACTCGCATCCCCATCCAACCTCCTCCTCCCCCTACGCGCCCTATCCGTCTTCCGGCAGTAGCGGCCAGCTCCAGCAGCTCTCAGGTGGACTCTATCTCGGCTCCCTCAGCGCCGTGAACGACTTTCCCCTCCTGCGCGCCCATGGGATCACGCATCTGGTACAGGCACTCGAGGCGCCATGGGCCCCACCTTGTCGCAAGGAGGACGGCTTTGTCGCGTACAACATCGACATCCGAGATAAGGAGAGCACGGATTTGCGTCCTCACTTGGAGGCGGCCTGCCAATACATCGAGCGTGCGCTGCGGAGAGGCGAGGGTGTGCTAGTTCATTGCCAGCAGGTGCGTGTGCTGGCTTTTTTGTGACGATGACCCCGATGGGCTGAATATACCTCTAAGGGTGTCTCCCGGTCGCCGTCAATCGTCATAGCGTACCTCATTCGCAATCACGCCATGTCCTATGACGCTGCCCTCTCGTTTGTGAAGCGCAAACGCGCGTGTGCCAAGCCTAATCCTGGTTTTGCCCGCGCGCTCATGGAGTGGGAGCAGGCATGGCGTCGGCCCCAGGCACAACGTCGTTTCACTTCCTGAGCTACCCTGCCCAGTACTTGTCCGTGGCCCTGCTCCCCATGCGATGCCACGCCCCGGGTGCGCAACCTCCCCCTCGTGTCCGTGCTATCCGGCTGATCTTGTACATCTCTTGGCAGTCTTTACATATCTGTGTCCAAGAAAAAGCTCGACACGGCGTCCCGTGTTCATCCTCGTTCCTTACCTTGTACTTGTGCTCACCCTTGTGCCCCATCTATCCGTCCATCTGTCTACTCATCTTCCATCTATCCACAATGTCTCCCGTCTTACGGCCGCCGTCTTGCCGTATCCGTACCTTTCCCTTGTTCGCTCCCGACCACTCGCATTTGCAATTACCTACTCGCTCCTTTTTACCTTCATAATACCCTTCTGTACCATACCCTTTGGGCTGTTGTCGTTTCCTCTCGCGGTTATATACTGGCTTCCATCCGTACCTGTCCCTATTTTTCGACGCCTGACTTCTGGGCCTTGGTTGGGCGACGGCTAGTATACGCTCAGGGTTGTGGAGTCCGTGTCTAGACTTCCACGCGCCGTTCCTATTAATCCGGCATCGCGTCATAAGAAGTTGAGAACAAGGATTGGTGGTCAGCCCCAGTGAAAACCAGGTCTCGCCAGGGCTCACGAAATGCTCGTGTGGTATCGGCCAGGGCTCGCGTGGTCTCGTACTTGTACAATTGCCCAAATTTATACAGCTCGATACCGGACGATACCACAGGATGCCACAGGATGCACTAATGGGTAAGAAATGATGTGTTCTTTCCGTTGGTATCATCTGGTATCATGCAGGATTGGATGGGATAAAAGTGTATATATTCTCTAGATACCATATATTCAGCTACCTACGGGCCCGCCCGCACTACCCAGCAGCGCCCGCCGTCCGCACGACGCACGCTCACCAAGCTATACTCCATCCCATCTAGGTAGGTGAAGATGTCGAGCGGTCGCTAGGCGTGGTGTTGCGAGATCGAGAGTGGAGAATAGCATGGCATGGCAGCCGCACGTCGCTCTCGCCCGTTACGCCGGACGCAGAAGGTTGTGCAACGGAAGGGAGACACCTGAGAGGCGTGTGAGTAAAGACCGATGCACTACCAAGTGAGGACGTACCAGGCACAGTGAGTCGGCGTCGTCGTGTTTCTACATGGCTTGGAGTAGTCAGTACGCGTAGGAAAGGATTGGGAAGAGCCGTTTAGCTCAGCGACGCACCCGAGGCCACGGAGACGACTGAGGCAACTTGGATGGGATCTTGCACGGCAATCGGAGGTGGGAGCTAACGGAACTGAGAGCTTGATGAAGGTGGTGGGCTTGTCGGCAACAGCAGCGGGAATGAGGTGAGGGACTGGGTCGTCCGTCCAGTGGAGTCCAGGCGACGGTCGAGATGATGGCGTGTACAACGGAAAGGAGTGGAAAGCGAGGAAGGAAGAAAGGAGAAAGGAAGGAACGACACACAACAGCGGGTAGCCTGCAACGCAGCGTAAGATACTGACAATGTGAAAGAACGTACCCTTCTTGAGCCAACTGCGTGGACAGTAGACGTCACTGCCTATCGTCGATGGGACTATCAGAGGAATACTGGACAGAAGGGGAAGATCGCGTACTGATTCCCTCTGCTCTCTTCAAGCAACCCGTCGCGATGAGATGACGGTGTGGTGTGGAAAGGCGACCCCCTCTTCTTCGAGCTTGGCCACGATGACAGCGAGGTTGGTGGTAGGCGAGAGGCGGTAGGGTGTTAGGCGCGGAACCCGCGTAGTGGAGGGCTGCGAGGAGGAGGGAGGAGAGGCGGGGAATGCATATGGTGGTGGTGTGGAGCCAGGAAGTCTTTCAAACTCCGCTCGCTTCCGGGGACTTGATATGACTCGGTCGACGAGCCCAGCAGATCCATTTTCTCTACACATACTAGTAGCTATCTCCAAAATGCAGACAAGCACACACGAGCCCAGGCGATACTTTTCTAATCCAAAAATACCGAAACGATACAGGACGAGCTCGGCCTATACTTCCTGATGCCCGGCGATATTTCCTGATACCGGGTTTTCACTGGGGGTCAGCGGACAACGACGTGCCGGTGGTCCGATGTCAACCTTTCAAGGCCGTTTGTTGTATTTTTCTTCGATGCCTTGTTCTTGTGGCGTTGGGCACACGCGATTGGGAGAAGGGGCAGATTGTGGGATATTTTGTGGCGTGGGGTGAGGTACGAGGTACGTGTTCCGTTTGCTTGGGCGCCGTGGGCCGGGCGCAGTGGGAAGTGCCTCAATATCTTGCCTTTCTGGATAGATTGACGCATTTACCGTTGACCGTAGACCGAGCGGTTGGACGCCAGCGGATCTGTGTGTCTCAGGTGGGATCCGGGTTCGATTCCTGGCCCTGGAATCATGTCGTGCACTTCGAGTTTTTTGGGCTTTGATTCTCATCGAATAGCTCGATATACGCGCAATGGGTAGTGGACAGGATTGACTGTGGACCGAGCGGTCTGATACCAGTGTCTGTGTCTCGGGTGGGATCCGGGTTCGATTCCCGGCGCTGAAATGAACAGGGTCCATGAAGAAGAAGAAAACTCGTTTTTTCGTTCTTACGTTGATTGATTCCCAGTCAATAGCCAAACGCTGGAATACGCGTACTACAGTCACGCCTGCTTGACAAGGCCGACGTTCGATTTTTCCGAGGTGGTCCAGGGTGAAATCCTCATCGGGTTTATTTCCACGACTAACTGTCTGTCAGAGCACGATCTGAACATGTTATCCCAGAGGAGACGGCAAATACTAATTCGCCTTGAGGGCAGTATCGTGCCCTATAAGACAGGAAACAAGTAGGTCGGGGTTCGGCTCCTCGCACTCACAATGGACCAACGAGATGTTCCTTTTTCTTCTTGTTCTTACTGTATTCACCCATGCCAAATCTACAGAACGTGATTATTATGCCCCAAGTGATATTTGCAACTTGAACCTTTCGGCTGAGCTGATTATACGAAGCATAGTCGGTACCAGCAAGATCGGGCACCCGCGGGTTCGAGTCTCGGCGCCTGAATATCTGGAGAGTCTGGCATTATTTCTCCTCAGGTCACTCCCTCATCAAATCCTGGTGTGGAGTAGGCTTCCTGCGACTGGGATATATATATAACAGAAAGCAGCTCGTGGTCGCTCGTTTTGGATTCAAAGGAACACAACCAGCAGGCAACACAGAAGTAGTTTTTCTTCTTCATGTTCGCAGGCATCTTGAACTTCCCAGTAGTCTCTTCCGCCCTGCAGAATGGTGTTCGGCACGCCGATGCCGAATGTACGGTGCGTGATTTTGAACTAATTAATATTCAAATTATAGTGCTAGCCGCCACGTATGCCGTTTGAACCTTTCTGCGAGGAATCAGTAATTACAAACGGCCAGATCGGTACGCACGGGTTCGAGTCCCGGGCCCTGAATACTGCTAGATCATCACTCTTTTTCCTCATCCGTCTGGTGTCGGTCTCGAGCTCATTCAATCCTAGCGCAAATTCAGGTCGAGCGTGTAGGCTCCCTTCGAGAGCGTCGGATATCACAGGATGGTCGGCTCGCTTTTGGAGCCAACAGCACCCAACAAGTTACACAACACACTGCTTCATCTGAACGGTCGTTGTGTGTGGCATACAGAGGGCCTCGTCAGTTAGTTCTCCTGTCACAGAAGCTTCACGGGTTCGATTCCCTGCGCCTCCCTCCGCGGTGAGCCTCTTTCTTTTGTGTCTTTCGGGATCCGTTGAGTCACAATTTCACAGACTGGTTCAGATTTTGTCAACTAATCATACAGATTTGTTTACTTAGATTCTTAGGTGTGTATCGCAGTGGCTAGAGATTTCAATACCACCCACCGGCGACGCCCGGGCACAACACCAACGATACTGCTGAGACTTGGAGGTAGGCTCATTTCTCGTTCAGGCTGCATATCGCTAAATGAGTATCCAATTTACACCGGTCCACGGTACAAAATAAAGGTACAAAAGTACGTTGAACGACATTCTTCTTTCAGATTAATTATGCAGTTCAGAAATATGGCCATCCTCTCTATACTCACCCTCCTGTCCTGCGTTGCGGGGCAAACGACGGTGGAAAAGTGCTCTGAGATTGCACAACCAAAGGGCTTGGCA